ACGGACTGTTGATGCTAATGCCAAATAAAACGGACCTCTACGACGCAAAGATAAATGTCGCGTATTAAGCTAAAAGTCGCTTAAGCCGTGAAGTCGTCGTGGTCTAACGGATAAGACGTCCGGTGCATTCGCGTTGAGCGCGATGCACCAGTGTTCGAATCCCGCAGGCGGGTACCAATTTTCTAATGAAATACGTACTCAACAAATGTTCACGATTGATTTCCACGGTGAAGGAATAACATCGTGTAATAAAAATGAAACCCGCAAAATTATAATTTGCGTAATTACTGGTGGTAGGACCTGTTGTGAGTCCGCGCGGGTAGGTACCACCGCCCTGTCTATTTCTGCCGTGAAGCAGTAATACGTTTCGGTTTGAAGGGTGGGGCAGCCGTTGTAACTATACTGAGACCTTACAACTTATATCTCAAGGTGGGTGGCGCATTTACGTTGTAGATGTCTATGGGCTCCAGTAACCACTTAACACCAGGTGGGCTGTGAGCTCGTCCACACATCTAAGCAATAAAAAAAAAAAAAAAAAGCCGACGCCCCTTGATATTAATTCACAAGAATGAAAGTCACCGTATATTTTCTGTGACCTTTTGGAGTCGTTTTACAAATAGTGGTTGGATTTTAAACTTATCTTCTTCTTGCCAAACTAGGCAGACTAATTACGCCCTCTGTTGGCGAATGGTGGGGTCCAAGAACGTAGCCAAACCGCTGGCTAACCGCTGCCAATAAACAAATAGAACTTAAACTTATTTAGTAAATGGAAAATTATAAACTAAAAGAGAGATAACAAACGAATGTTCCAGAATACGTCGCCGACATAAACCGCGTGCATTCTCATGCGAGTTTACTGCGCACTGAACCATAAACTGTTGAATTAGTTGCCTGCTTACGTCACGAGTCCCCATGGCTTTACGATGATACATGCTTTTACGAATTTAGTAATGCAGCCTAATATAACGTGAATAACAGCGGTAGAGCATTTATTTAACCGATTTCAAAGAAAGAGGAGGTTCTCAATTCGATTGTTTTTTATGGGAACTGTCATTGAACCGATTCTGTTAATTCTTTTTTTATTTGAAAGCTGGTGCTTCTAATGTTTTTGAGTAGCAGCAAAAATATGCGGGAAGATGATATTGTTTTGCTCAGCTGGAACACTTTACCACTGGTGCTTACGAAAATTACAAAATAGCTTCTGATATATTAGTAAATTTACTTAAATAAAACTATTAAAGTGGGAACAGATATGGATGCAATATCTATGAACTTAGAAAAAGGAGAAAATAATAGTTCAAAAAATTGCGATATTTAGATGAAACACTTTCGGACAATAACTTAGGAACATAAACTTAAAGTTTAATCAAAATACCTTGTATATTTGTCAAATAAAAAAATTATACTATCATTGCTACAGTAAGTGATCTTATTTGAACGATAGCTGGCGAATATTGCGGTATTTGCAGATGTTTGTATAAAAACACTGCATACAGTTCTGGCCGCTTGCCATTGCGACGTGGGAATATTTGCATTTACATAAGCTTGAAGCGATGCCCGTTTGTTTGCAAATATTCGTGTTCATTTTGCACTCGGTGAAAATGTGTAGAAAAACTAGCGACGTTTAACCTCTGTCTTTAGCGACACCTTTACTGTTTGCTTCTAAAGTCTTCGCTTCACATTTCGATGATGCAAGATATAAATACATCGATAGGCAGCGGCTTGGCTCTGCCCCTGGAATTGCTGAAGTCCATGGGCGACGGTAACCACTCACCATAAGGTGGGCCGTATAGTAGTCTGCCTACAAGGGCAATAAAAAAAATTACATGAATTATGAATTTAATATCTAAGATATAGTCTTACAGTACAGATTAATATTGCACGAAACAGTCTGACCGCATATTACTGCACTTGAATAACTGATGTCAAACTACGCGTACCTATATGACGCTGCCTAGTGTGCGAAAGAGATAACGCTCTACTGCGCCGAAATTCGCCGATTGTCTCTTTCCAAAAGTCGATGTGCAATATTTAACGCCGGGTACTGTACTTCGGATAGGTACGGGTCTCTATCTTCGTTTTTATGTGTCTACGTCAGATCTCTCTTGGTAATTTATTAGATCTCGTCTCGGTCTTTCCGTCTAACTTTAGCCTTTTATCTATTTAGACACTATTACTCTGTGGCGGGAACTAGTTATACATAATACACGCCACTTCTGCTTACTTCTGCGTCCTACAGTAAATTTTCTGGTTCCTGTTTCAGCAAAATAACTCGTTTTATCACCTTTGTTGGTTCTTCGACATGTATTGCCTGAATGAGCACGGATAAATTTCAAGTTAAAGCTTAAATTGCACAGAGAAATAAACAAGATTTTCGTTTTGATTTTGTTCTTTTTTTGTTTTGTTGTTGTTGTTTGTTATTCTTTTGTTAATGCACCTACCATGAATTATCTCTGCACCACCCTATGGTCGACTGGAAGAGAATGCCCATGGCATTAAGTCCGCCTGTATACAAGTATTGTTTTGTGCATCTATACTAATATTATAAAGAGGAAAGATTTGTTTGTTTCGAATAGGCTCCGAAACTACTGGACCGATTTGAAAAATTCTTTTTCCATTAGAAGCCGACATTGTCCCTGATGAACATAGGCTACTTTTTTTTTTTGTTTTTTTTGTTTCATGTTTGTTTTAATGTTTCCGAAGCGAAGCGAGGGCGGGTCGCTAGTAAAGTATAAATAAATAAAATAAAATACATATTGAAATCCCAATTAAAATAACGCCGTACACTTTGACATTATTTTAAATGCGTACACCAGAATAGAAAGCACTTTGTAGTACGTAAATATGAAAGTTCGAGAACTTTAGCCCGGGCGGTCGCAACTATGAAGTAATGAGATCAGTTCCGCGCATCCCTGAAGCGTCACTTTGCGGTGCTTTTGCGGTGTCTGCTTTAATACAATGAGCTTTTGTGAGAATGGAACTCTGCGTACTAAAGCACAAAATTATATCTGATCTAATGACTTAGATATAGGTTCTTTTCTTTATACATTTCTCTTTAAGCGGTAGGCAGCGGCTTGGCTCTGCCCCTGGCATTGCTGAAGTCCATGGGCGACGGTAACCACTCACCATCAGGTGGGCCGTATGCTCGTCTGCCTACAAGGGCAATAAAAAAAACTAATCGAATAATATTTGGATGGTCGTTGCTAGGTTGTTAAAATAATTACTTTGGAGTTCCGTAATTTTCTATTCAATTTTAAATCAGGATTGAGTTTTAATTTTAACTTTCATGAACATGCGTATTATGGTCAAAGGGTAATAGAATAAATGCACATCGGTAAACATCACTAGACCACCCAAGAGCCTGAATATCGTAGCTCTCTTTGACTCATGAGGTCGATACCTCTTGAAACTAAGCCTAAACAGGAAGACTACTACATAATGATCTGATCATCTAAAATATTGAAAGCCACTCGCCATCGTCCGTATTAACATTAAAATCATACAGTATCGTTTTTTTAATTGCTTATATGGGTGGATGAGCTCACAGCCCACCTGCTGTTAAGCGGTTACTGGAGCCCATAGACATCTACGACGTAAATGCGCCACCCACCTTGAAATATAAGTTCTAAGGTCTCAGTATAGTTACAACGGCTGCCCCACCCTTCAAACCGAAACGCATTACTGCTTCACGGCAGAAATGGGCAGGGCGATGGTACCTACCCGTGCGGACTCACAAGAGGTCCTACCACCAGTAAAAAGCAAGCGTCAAAGCATTGTTCAATATATCGTATTTCGTTTGTTAAAACATTATCATTATTTATGGCTATGAATAGTGGTTTCCAACTCATTAACTCGTCTCGAATCCTCTATAGTTTCTTTGAAGGAACGTTCGCACAACACGTCGCGTAGATTTTACGATAAACTTATTGAATGTTCGAAAACTTGTAAGAACTTCGAAATTCTTTAAAGTTATATTAAACATTTACTGTACTGCTTATTTGTTTAATCGTTGAACACTCACTACAGTTCCGTGTTGGCGAAATGTGAACGAACCTACAACGAATTAGGGATCGGCTGCTAGTCACCGCACCGGATTTTATCGGCGCAATGAGATATGAAATGAAATTCAGTGGGTACAAACCAATGACGGATCCAGGGGGGGGGTCATGGGGGTCATGACCACCCCCTGAGCTGGTTCCAGGACTTGGTGGACCACTAATTGAATATAATGATTTTATTTATATATTCTGTCACCATACAGATTTTATGTAACTACATACCTTCAATATTTAATTAATTTAATAAAATATAATAACTTTGTATAATGGCAAACGTTTGGTAACGAACGGATCTAAATTTGACTATGTGACCCCCTCCTGGCGCCAAAGCTGGATCCGCCCTTGGTACAAACACGAGCACGCGATCACGTCGGCCTGACCTTGTCGGGTCGTATTGACAGGCGACAGCTTGTCAACATTTAGTGAATTCAAGTGTTTGCTCGTGTCCGTAAAATAACACTCAATTTGGGTGAAGTGGATCGCCGGACATTGACTTTAGTGACGTGGGCTGCTCCTCACTGAAATTGTGTGATTGAAACAACCTAAATTAAACAAAGAAAGTAATTGAATTACTGTTCTTTTTACGTAAAGAAATGTATTTTTTTACAATGAATAACGTCAGCGACACGAAAACCTTGAAACTAATTCAAATAATTGAAAAATGCAAACAATAAAAGCGATAAATCCTATACTATCCTGTCCTAAAAGGATGTAATTGCCTACGTACGTGTCACAGTAGGGAATTAAATTTGATACAATAATTACTGCTTGAATTTAGTGTTCTAGTTAGTTGTCAAAGCATTAGTGCAAAGGTCTCGCGCCGCGGTCGGCTGCCGTCGCGTAGCATCGTCCCGAAGCCTCACGTCAAAGGAGATTAGGTCCGTTTACACAATCTCGATTTCGGATTACACGGTTTCCCTTCAATCCCCCAACGGTTCTCAGATCTGGGCGAGTCTCGTCGGTGTATGATTCGTGACGATGGCGTGGGGATACTGGTCGGCGTCGTCGGTGATGCCGGACCGCGGGCGCAGTCCTCGCCGGGCCGGCACCTCTGCCGTGCACTCGCATTCCAACCCGCCCACCGCAAGAGAGGTAATGGAGGCGCACGATGAGAGCATCCTGCACACGGCCTCCACCAGCGCTCGCGACAGCAGGGACCACTCCGCCTCTCCGCACTCCTCGTCGAATGGCGGTCACTCGCACCACCAGCACGATGTGCGACACGCAGTGCCCGCGAGCGCCTTATTCGGTGAAAGTTATGGAGAACTGTCTAGAAGACCCTCGTTAGATTTAGGTTCGGTGAGAAGTGCGTTAGCCTCGTGCTCCGGTGGGGGGACGTTAAGTGCGGGCTCGACGTTGACCCGAGGCGGCACCCTCGCGGACTACCACTTGCCCCCAACTCCGTGTCCGCACCACCACCGCGTGTACGTGGACCACCACAAGCATTACGAGCAACCCATCCAGCCGGTGCACGTGGGCGTGGGTCACCACTCCCACTCGCACTCGCACGCTTCGAGCAGGCACCACACCGACGACGAGGACGACCTCGAACCCGCATACGCTACAGGTACCGCTCATAATATTACAGCATTATACAAACTAAGTTTAACGATCATGAAATGTTGTCTGTCACCGAATTTATAGCTGGCAACATTGACAGTTTTATGACCGTATATATATTTTATCTGTTTCCATTGAAACGACGCAGCTGTAAATAGGTCATATGCAATGTCATATAAAAAGTGGCTGTTTATTAAACGATTGATATTACGTCATAAACAACAATAAGATAGGCCGGTATATTATTCAGGAAAATTACGAATTTTGTGCTGGTAACAAACAGTGAAAATCATATAACTTTTGTTTGATTAAAGTAGAGGTATTAATTGTTCTCTTGCGAGTATTTTGTTACATTAATTATGAAAGTTTTCCGTCTTATTTCGTTAATGTATTTGTAGCTCTCGGTGCGACCCAGTTTCCGTGTCCATTCATCGCGGACGGTCAGTGTTGCCAACTTGGTAAAAAATCCGTCTCGAAATAAGGTTAATTTATTGCTACAGCTCTTTAAGTGCACTTTTGAATTGCCTCTTGCCTCATTCAGCGCATCTACTTTTCATTAAAAAATATTTATTATTTCCGTCCCTCCTGTGAATACAAATTCATTTCAGAGCGAACCTCCCCGATATTACACAAAATGGAATAAAACGTAAAAAAAGTATTCCATATAAAACAGCTTTTGTGTAATATAACTCACAAAAAACGATGCTTCACTGATATAATACGTGTAATAAACACGTTGTAAAATATTACCGAGTTTATTTGTAGTGAGCGTCATCCATTACGAACACAATATGCAGATAAACTGGCAACATTTAGCGCGGGTTTCATTTAGCGCGTAATGTACTGCGGCACCCTCTCGCGCCTCATAACAGTAGACTACTATATTAATGTTAACATATTGTAACTAAAATAGAACAGAAATATTCACGCAATATTCAAGGGAACAGGTGCAGTTATGTTTTTCAAACAGTGAAGTCCTCAATCTTGTATTTATTGATTTTATTTTAAAATACGTTATGTATGTATTTATGTATTGTGTGCGTAAGTAAATAAAAAGATCAAATTTCAACAGAAAATATATTTGACATTTAATTTTCTGTCTTGTGGTTATCGGTGATATGAACACCGAATTGAACAAACTGCCTTCAATGTCAGATCAGATCTGCGTGTAAAGAAACACAATTGTCAATATATTATTTTATATACAGTTGGCGCGATATAAATTAAAGCGAAATGTGGATATAGTTGTATTAGTATTGTAACAACAGATAAATAATAGGAGGCAAATTAAACTGTTTCCGTCAAATTAAACTGTTACCGTCAAATTGAACTGTTTCCATCAGAGAAAACCTAAAAATTGGCTAAAACGGCTTACGGTTCACGATTGAAGTGGCTGCATATACTACAGATTGTGCGTTTGAAAAATCAATGAATATAATAACAATATCACATACTAAACGAGTGTACCTCGCGTTTTAAAAATTTCAAACGTCATGTCTCGTTTTTTGTGATTTTCAATTACGTATTTCACAAATCATGTTCCTTATCAGGGGGTAGGTAATCTATGAATTATGTTTAAAAAAAAAACGAATATTTATAAAAATGTATCCATTTCGTTTCTTGTAACAAACAAATTTCAATTAATTATCCTCTAAACAAATATTTTAAATGTTCCTTAAATTGTCCCGTAAAAAAACTAGCAAGTGCATTTTACCATGGAAGGCCCACTGAAAACTTCGATAAATGCAGTAAATGTTATGTTAATGCACAACACAAAACATGGGAAACATGCAGTCAGAGTGTAGTAAGTGCTTATGAATGAATGGAAGTGACAGTGAATGTAATTAAGCCGTTTCATTCAACCGCGAATGGAACTAACAGTTGACCTACATACATTCATTCGTTGAACGAGATTTTCAAAGATTTTTAATTGAGTTCGTCTTGAATGTCTATGGCACTTTTAGGCCGCGTTGACAATTTAAAAAGTAACTATCTAGGATGCCTCGTGTTTTCCCTAAATCTAGAAGAACTGCTAAGGAACGGGAGAGCTGTGTAAATTTTGTAAGACACCAGACCGTGGCAGCTTTTTACTGGTGGTAGGACCTCTTGTGAGTCCGCACGGGTAGGTACCACCACCCTGCCCATTTCTGCCGTGAAGCAGTAATGCGTTTCGGTTTGAAGGGTGGGGCAGCCGTTGTAACTATACTTGAGAACTTAGAACTAATATCTTAAGGTGAGTAGCGCATTTACGTCGCAGATGTCTATGGGCTCTAGTAACCACTTAACACCAGGTGGGCTGTGAGCTCGTCCACCCATCTAAGCAATAAATAAAAAAGCTGGAATTCTACTTTAAATAAGAGGCTTGTCCTATTTAAATATTGAAACTTATCTATCCCGTTAGCTGACAAAATGCTCTACCAATGACACGCTCTGTAATCAATGTTTGTGAACGTGAAATATAAATATTTTTTGCGGTTTAATTTCGGCTTTTTTATTGTCATTAGATTATTTCAGAATTTTCGAAGACATTACATTTTTCGTGGTTACGGACGACTAACTTATTATTCGTTGAGTTTTTACTATTATGCCAGTTACTGTCTAATTTTCAATATACTTTGAATGTACATTTAACTACTGCATATCACGGCCTTAACATATTAATATGGCATGTGTGTATTAATTAAAATGATTAACTCAATATTAAATTAAATAAAAAAATGTTATATTCTGTTTATTTTCAATCAACTAAATTTTTTTTGCATAATGATTTCGGAAATAATTCTGAAACTGTTATAACGCGCAACAATAACCTTCAAAACCCGTCGTACATTAACCTTGATCCGCATGCGTCAAATAATATTCGAAAAACTAAAAACAATTCGTTTTTATACAGGGCAACACTCGCGAGCGTGCCCCATTGTCGAGCCGACCCTTTGGTCAATCGTTATGTTTTTAATTAACATAACACACTTATCGCTGCGATTATGGAAAATAATTTAAAAAACACCCTTTATGATTCCATTTTTACATGCTGCGGGTACTTTCTTTTTTTGTTCATGTTATTTTAAAGACGTATCAAATTGTATTTTCTTAGGTTTTGGCGAGTCGTAGATACAATTAAAACTGTTTTTACGGCTTAATTATTACACTAAGACAATATTTAAATATCGATTAATAACACCTGAGTCGTCCTTGACTACGAAGACTGTAAAGTCAAATTCTTTTAAATTTCAGAAATATAAAATTGAAAATTAAAAAACTGGCGAATTTAAACAGTCAAAATACTTTTAATGATGTGTCAAATATGTCAAAAAAATATTGAAGGCTGTTTTCAACGTAACCCTTTCGCCTTCTTTCAAGTTATTATGTCATTGTCTCAAAGTTGTCACTGGTTAATGACTGTCATTTTTTTAAAGATTATTTTGGGAAATATTTTTAAATAAGTTAAATTGGTATCGTTCCACATTTAATATCCTGAGCTTAAGAGCGCTATAGCGCTGGCGCTCTGTTTGACGGTATCTTACCACAGTAGTACAACACATCTCGGCGTCATAGCGTAGCGCTCTGACGCGCGCTAAGTACGCGTTCTGTTTGACGAAGCCTTTAATATGCTGGATTTGGAAATAAATATAGCAAATATTTGTGACAGAGAAACTGATTTCAAACGGGAATCGAACACGGATCCAGTGGTACACTCATCCACGAATACATTCTAGAGAAGCCAAAATTGACCGACCACTACTAGAAATACCTGTTTTTGTAGTTATTATTATTAAATTTCGATGCGGCTTCTGGTTTCACGCAGTAATCCAGAAACATTTGCACAATGAATTTTCTCAGGATAAAAAGAGTTTTGCTTGTGTCAATCTCTGGCTCATAATCCACCAGTCCCTTCCTAAGTTTAATGATATGTAAACTGACGAACCAGTAAATATTACTATCGTATTTATCATAGCAGATATATCCTCTGTCACGTAAGCATTTCATTTACCGTGACAAAAATATATTACTGTTGGTAGGACCTTTTATGAGTCCGCACGGGTAGGTACCACCACCCTGCTTATTTCTGCCGTGAAGCAGTAATGCGTTTCGGTTTGAAGGGTGGGGCAGCCGTTGTAACTATACTTGAGACCTTAGAACTTATATCTCGAGATGGGTGGCGCATTTACGTCGTAGATGTCTATGGGCACCAGTAATCACTTAACAGCAGGTGGGCCGTGAGCTCGTCCATTTTTTTTTTTTTGCCCTTGTAAGCAGACGAGCATACGGCCCACCTGATGGTGAGTGGTTACCGTCGCCCATGGACTTCAGCAATGCCAGGGGCAGAGCCAAGCCGCTGCCTACCGTTTAATACTCTCCACAAGCCTCGTTTGAAGAAGGACATGTCATAGCGCTCGGGAAACACCGTGGAGGGAAGCTCATTCCATAGCCGGATGGTACGTGGCAAAAAAGATGTCTGGAAACGCACTGTGGATGACCGCAGTGGCTCCAGGTAGTATGGATGAACTCTACTCCGGTGGCGGGCGGTGCGATGGTAAAAACGAGATGCCGGTATCATCTCGAACAATTCCTCAGAGCACTCCCCATGGAACATACGGTACAAAATGCAGAGGGAACCGAAGTCCCTCCGCAGACCCAGAGGCTCCAAACGATCCGTTGTTCGTTAGTCTCGCTAAAACTCGAGAACGGCTGGACCGATTTGGCTAATTTTGGTCTTTAATTATTTGTGGAAGTCCAGAGAAGGTTTAAAAGGTAGATAAATATGAAAATGCTCGAAATTAAATAAAAATAAGAATTTTGTTTTTTCTTTGATGTGTCCCCCTTCGAACGGATTCCTTTTGTTTGTTTTAAGTTTATTTTATACAAAAGTTTAGGTCTTTTATTTATCGATTGAGGCACTACGAAATCTGCCGGGTCAGCTAGTAAAAAATAAAAATCCAATGTATTCAAAAATGTCATGAACCATCTTTATACGAAATTTCATTCGTTAACGCCTTCAATTGATTGATTAACAAATATCCAAACATACAAAAGTTTCACATTTGTAATATTAGGATTGAAAGAATTTTCTTTGTGTATCAACAAATTTTTCTTTCAGTGCAGCTTCTTCATAAGCAAAGAGTCAGTTAATTTACGGTTTACATATTACGGTTTCGACGCATTTAATGGGCGAATAATTTGTTATCCTCTATCCCTCTTGCGGGCCGACGCAAACCAATTAATACGGGGCGCCTATTTGAGACGTTGATCTCGCCGCTCCGACCCTTTGCTTGATTGGCACTTCTTTCAGATGTTCTCAGAAAAGTTTTCAATAAAAAAAAACCAA